AAGTTATACACTTATACACTTTATATTAAGTGTCCTTAACTACTATGTACTTACATCAAAAATTAAATACCATGTACTTACTGTGTTTATAATGTATTTGAGAACACTTGTGGTGCTTTTGAGTTGGGATAGAGGTTGGGTTATGGACAGGTTTGGTGGTATGGGTAGGTTTAAGAGTGGGTTAAGGTGTAAGGGATGGTCAACAGTGTATTTACAAATGTAATTACAAAAGTCAATTACAGATGTAATTACATACATGTATTTAATCAAGCATAAGTACTCAGTAAATGCATATATTTACACAATAAGTACATTGTAACAAACTATTAATTCCTGTGTGAGTACATATAAGTTAAGGCCACTTGATATAAAGTGGGACCAAAAACACTTCTTGGTTTAAGATTGTTACAATATTTGGACTAGAAACTAGACCAAAACTCTTTGTTATGAAAAGTATTTTTCTGCAGTGGGATTCTCCTATCATCTGTTGTGCTGAATTTTATTTTTATTTTTTTAATTAGCTTATCTAATATTTCTGTCTCCTAAAATTGTGACCCACATTTGGGAGGGTATATTTGCCACGCTTCACCAGTTTCGAAGCAAGTGTGTGTATGTATGAGTGTGTTCGAGTGATTTTGTATCCTATACCAAGAGATCAGTGTGACCTGTATAGAGGGACTGATTACTGAGTTATTTAAGCTGCCAATGCATCTTTAATGACCTCTCGCTCAAGCTCTTAATTCAATCGAAAGTCCTCAAAGTGGATAAACAAACACTTCATTCTCCTGTATTTTGAGCGCGTTTACGATATTTGCTAGCATTGTTGTTGTTGTTGCATTTGTAGCCATTGTGAACATTGTGTATAGTTTTCGTTGCGTTTCGTCACTGAAGATGCAGATTTCTCTGAGCATATCTATATCTGTAAGTAGTGTGAATGTGAAAACGAGGCATGCTTACGTCCATGAGCAGTGTGTGTGTGTGTCTGTGTGTAGTGACTTGATGTTTTTCTTGCTGAAGTGGCTTTGGGGGAACCAGAGCTTCTTCACGCCACTATAAGCCATGAGTGTATCGATTCTACAGTTCTGTATCCCTGCTGAATCACCAATGACAATAAACATTATTCCTCTGATATTTCATGTCCCGACTCAATAAATTTTCCGATTAAAAATGTGTACACTGCGAAAATAAAAATTGAATCTCTATTTTTTTAGTCACACCACTGCTGAAAAATCCAGCTTAAACCAGCCTAAGCTGGTTGACTGGTTTTAGAGGGGTTTTGGCCATTTCCAGGCTGGTTTCCAGCCATTTCCAGCCTGGTCTTAGCTGGTCAGGCTGGAAAATGACCAGCCAAATCCAGCTAAAACCAGCTTGACCAGCCTGGTTTAAGCTGGACATAGCTGGTTTTGGCTGGACTCCCAGCTTGGCTAGGCTGGTCAAGCTGGTTTTAGCTGGTCATCTCCCAGCCTGACCAGCTAAGACCAGGCTGAAATTGGCTGAAACCATCCTGGAAGTGGCCAAAACCCCTCTAAAACCTGCCTGGTCGACCAGCTAAAACCAGCCAACCAGCCAAGGCTGGTTTAAGCTGGATTTTTCAGCAGGGACTTTATTTTAGTGTACAATTCACACTAATGACTAACCATTAACTACGACTTTTAGCTTAAACTACTAATTAGTTCATTATTAATAGTTATTAGTTGTAAGTTTAGGTATTTGGTAGGATTTGGGATGTAAACTAAGGTCATACTTTAAAAGCGCTAATAAACTGTTAAATGTGCAGTAGGAGGTCTTTCTAAATGCTAACTGGTTAGCATAATATCTTTGAAACACAGTGCCTCCCCTGCCGTCCAAAGCCATGCCTCCTGATATCACACGAACGCACACATTAAAGATGACAGAGAGCCACTAGATCATGTCATTCACCAGTTAGAAAACTCTTTCTACTGTGGTATCCAAGTATATAGAACAGAAGTTAACAGAAAAACAAAGTACAGTATCAAGTATCAAGGTAATCATGGATCCTGATATTTGAGTTCACTTTAAATATGTATATTACAGAAATAATGTGTTTTGCAAGAATACACTTACAAAAGTAGTGATGTTTTAACAGACTTTTAAAAGCAATATTTTTAAATACTAGGGTGGGCCATTTATATTGATACACCTTAATAAAATGGGAATGGTTGATGATATTAATGTTCTGTTTGTGGCACATTAGTATATGTAAGGCGGTAAACTTTTAAAGATGGGTGGTGACCATGGCGGCCATTTTTAAGTCGGCCATCTTGGATCTAACTTTTGTTTTTTCTATAGGAAGAGGGTCATGTGACACATCAAACTTATTGGGAATTTCTCAAGAAAAACAATAATGTGGTTGGTTTTACGTAACTTTATTCTTTCATGAGTTATTTATAAGTTTCTGACCACTTATAAAATGTGTTCAATGTGCTGCCCATTGTGTTGGATTGTCAATGCAACCCTCTTCTCCCACTCTTCACACACTGATAGCAACAGCGCAGGAGAAATGCCAGCACAGGCTCCCAGTATCCGTAGTTTTAGGTGCTGCTCATCTTGTATCTTCACACCATAGGCAACAAAGATAGTGAGGCCATTCTTCATCAATGGAAACCTCAAGGCTACTGGATATTTGAAATTGCTACACGATGATGTGTTTCCTTCTTTATGAACTGAAGCTGGCACGTTCCCTGAATTTTTCTAGCAAGATGATGCACCACCACATTATGGGTGTCAGGTCCGAGCATTTCTAGATGAACAGTTAAAAAGTGGATTGGTCGTCGTGGGCCAGTTGAATGGCCCCCAAGGTCTCCCGCTCTGACTTTAGACTTTTATCTTTGGGGTCATCTGAAGGCATTTGTCTATGGTGTGAAGATACAAGATGTGCAGCACCTAAAACTACGGATACTGGAAGCCTGTGCTGGCATTTCTCCTGCGGTGTTGCTATCAGTGTGTGAAGAGTGGGAGAAGAAAGTTGCATTGACAATCCAACACAATGGGCAGCACATTGAACACATTTTATAAGTGGTCAGAAACTTGTAAATAAGTAATGAAAGAATAGTTACGTTAAAACCAAGCACGCCATTGTTTTTCTTGGGAAATTCCCAATAAGTTTGATGTGTCAAATGACCCTCTTCCTATTGAAAAAACCAACCCAAGCTCATTCTGGAAACGTAGCCCCGCGGACGTTTCTGGAGACCGCGATTTACGTGGCCGGAGGTACGTAAAGGCCGCGTTTGGTTTTTTTTCGAGCGAACGCTGCGGGGTGGTGTGGCGCTCGCCGGCCGACGGCTCGCCTCCGAGTGGAGGGCTTTCCCGACGCAATCAGTTTGTCCGCCTAACTCACAGCGTTGCGTCGGCGGAGCGGAGGCCCCGGACGAGGAGGAGGAGGAGCCGGCCGCGGTGGACGACGACCGGGATCGAGTCCGGGGAACAGCGGGTTCCGGAAATCAGGTAAGATGAAAAACGGAATCCGAAAAATAAGGGCGAGAACGCGGCGGGATCCGAAAACGCGGTCGAAATCGAAGACGGGGGCTTTTGCTTTTTTTTTTTTTTTTCGATCCGCCGGCTTTTCGCGCGAGAACGGCGCAGGCGCGAACGCCGCGCGCTCCCGAGAGGCGTCCGCCCGAGACGCAAAAAAGCGCGCACAGCGGCCTCTCGCGGATCCGCGAAAACAAAAAAACGCTCGAATACGTACCTCCAGGGACGTAAATCGCGGTCCGCAGAAACGTCCGCGGGGCTACGTTTCCACAATGAGCCCGGGTTGGAAAAAACATTGTATCCAAGATGTCGGACTTCAAAATGGCCACCATGGTCACCACCCATCTTGAAAAGTTTGCCCGCTCACATATACTAATGTGCCAGAAACAGGATGTTAATATCACCAACCATTCCCATTTTATTAAGGTGTATCCATATAAACGGCCCACCCTGTAGTTTTAATACTAGTTTTCAACTTAAAGACTTAATAACTGGATAATTAAGTTAACTAGGCAATTAAGGATAATTAGGCAAGCCATTTTATTTAAATAGGCTTATAATATTCATCTTAAAATGTATAATTTTAAAATCATGCTTTTTTTATTTCAGCCAAAATAAAAGAAATATGACTTACTATAACGGGGAAAGAAAATATTATAGAAAAGAAAGAACATAATTGCTCTCTTAAACATCACTTGGCAACTATTTGAAAAGGAAACTCAAATTTCTAATCATATTACCTAAATCTGTAAATACAAACTGATTGTCAGTTAATTGCAATTACATTCATGTAAAATGTGCTTTATGACCCACTCACCAACTGTACAAAATGCTGGGTTCCACATAATCGATTTGTGTTGAGGCAACATGAAGGAATTAACTTAGTTTATTCATTTGTACAAACTGAAGTGGATTAAACATAAAAAAAAGTTTGCACAAAAAAAAAAAAAACTCAAGAATTGTGGACAAACAGCAAATGTCATTTTTTTTAAGTGCCTAATTTATATTTAATACTGATTATAATAATCATTTATTTATATCATTCTATTTGTTATACGTTTTAATTAATTTATTAACCCTTAAAGACCTTTGTGGGCACCTAATGGGCCTATATTTTTATTTTTTAAAAAGTAGTTTTAATTTTAATTAATTAGTTTAATTGCATAATTATTATTATTTTTTTTTGCATTTTTGTCATTTTTTAGTAGAATTGAATTTTCTGTATAGTTGTTATTTTTACTTTAGTAATCTTAAAAATAACCGTTTTTGAAGTTTACCTTTTTTATGTTAAAGGTTAACTTGTATGATAGTCAACATCAAAACAAGGGCTTCATCAAAAATATTAATAAACGGGATTTAAAATGACACTGCTTGCCTTAAATACTTCTGTCGTAATATTTGCATGTGACGCAATTAATCTTTCTTTTCCACAAGGGTGAGATTGGACTTTTACTGTAACAGTAGATTTACATTGAACTTACTGTCAGGCATAATCACAGATTCCTCATATCAGCTTTCCAAGCAAAGCTGTTGCAATAATCCATTGTTATTTTAAGTCAATGGGAAGATAATGATTAAAAGAAGCAAAGCTGGAGAAAAAGCGCACGTTGCATAACCGAGTCAAAGGCCATCATATGAGGAGGAGAAAGAGAGAAAGAATTTAGCTCCCGCTGTAAACAATACGAGGGCCTCAATAGAAGTTTACAGTAAGACGAGGAGGAAAGAAGGGCAAAAACAATGGTGCAGACTGACAGATGTAAGAGACCTTTGGACTTAGAAAAGCCAGAAGGAAATGGGAGCCTAGATGTGGATTGCAGGCCCTCAATTTTGCTGAATTTTGCCCTTGCATTACAAGTGAGTATTCATTTATTAGTTCTCCTGTATTTTGAGTGTGGTTGCCATGTTATGATACCATACAGTTGAAGTCAGAATTAGTAGCCCTCCTGAATTATTAGCCCCCTGTATACATTTTTCCTCAAATTCTGTTTAACGGAAAGAAGACTTTAACATATTTCTAAACATAATGGTTTTAATAACTAATAGTTCTAATAACTCATTTCTTTGCCATGATGTCAGTATAATATTTTATTAGATATTTGTATTCAGCTTAAAGTGCAGTTTAAAGGCTTAATTAGGCAAGTCATTGCATGTATTGAAGGATTGTTCTGTACATTTAATATTTTTTCTCCAGATTTTCACAACATGTTACTGTAATTTTTCACAGTGAAATACATTAGTATAACTTAACAGTATTTAACTGTAAAAATTCACAGTAATGTACTGTATTCTGATTTGTTTTTTGTGTGAAATTAAATTAGCATAATTACAGCAAATTACTGTGAAATGGGCTATATTATTTGCATGTTATAGGAACTTTTTATTTCATATAACATAGACATTAATACAAATCAAATATGATGGCTAGTATTGGCACTTGTTTTGATATTTAGAAATAATGTTATTGCAGCCCTCAAAACCATTTGGTTGCATCTTCAAAAATAACTTGGAAGAAAAATAATCCCATTTTGAAACAACATGTCATAGTAAATTTTCATTTTTTGGGTGCACTGCACTTTTAGGCTTTTAAGGTTAACATGGAAACATGAAATAATTTAATGAACATAACTTTACAGATCAAATTATCATGTCTTTCTTTTCTTTTTTTATTCTTTTAACCCTGTTTTAACACATTTTAATGTGTTTTTATTCACTATGTTTTTATTTTTGTATACTTCTCTCTTTGATTTGTGTTTATGTAAAGTATTATTTAAATTGCCACAGTGTATGAAATGTGCTACATAAATGAACCTTGCTCTTTGCTAAAAATGAATGAACTGGAACAAAAATAATTTATTTATAAAACTAAACACTGTTAAACACTCAAAATGATTTCAAAACCAGGGTAAATATCAGAATGACTAGCAGTTGAAAGCCTGTGCAACGAAGGCTAGCCAGTAGGTGCATGCTCTGCAGGTAAACCTCACTCCTCTGACCTCTAAAGGTACTCTAGCGACAGACGCTAGAGGCCAAGGTCTTTAGCCTCCTTGGTAGAGCTACTGACTCCCATGTGGAGGGTCGCCGGTTTGATACCAGCTCGGAGTGGGTTGAGTGGTGTAGGACTGGCAGGGTTACACCTATTTCACAGTAAAATAAGTCACGTTTACAAGATGCTGTAAAATCACAGAAATGGATTTTACTAATGTGAAGTGAACGCTTTTGAATTGAAATAATTTGAATCATACAGAAATTGCATTTAAAGCACAGATCAGTGGACAAATAATTATTTTAACATTAATATACATCTCATAATGGCAGGTGAGGATGATGACAGGTGAGGCACTGCCCTAACCGCACATTACTGTTACCTATATACATATACCTACTTTCTGCAGTCATTTTCATTTTGCATGTAGTTATTTTACTTTTAGTTTAGAAAAGTTAAATGTTAAAGTTTAGTAATGTTAAAAGTTTACTTGCAGTATGACAGTCAACATCAGAACAAGTGATATAAAATAGACTTATTTGACAACTAACAATTTCACTGACTGTAAAAGTAGATTTACATTGAACTTTATTTACATTGAACTTGATTTACAAAGCTGTGGCAATAATCTGTTGTTATTTTAAATCAAAGATAAGATAATGATTAAAAGAAGCAAAGCTGGAGAAAAAGCGCACAAAAATTTCTATCAGGGTAAATGTCAGAATGACTAGCCATGGAACGCCTGCTTCACAGTAAAATATAGTTAATTCTACAAGATCATACTTTGAAATCATGGTAATGGACTTTACTATCTGCTGTGAAGTAGAGATCTGCGTGGGACAAAATTTTCAATCCCGCTCCCGCCAGGTTTTAGCCCGAACCTGACCGCTCCCGCTTATATTCAGCATTTGTTGTCACTGTTTCCGCCTGTTTTCGGGGGGAGAACAAAACCGAAAACCACCCAGCTATACAAAGCCTAGACAGCCTATAACAAGCCATATAAACACAGACACACAAACACACACTCTCATAAGCACCAAGCAAGTGATACACACACAAACAGCTTCACGCGCTCTTTCATTCACACACACACACACACACACATAGACAACAGCAAAACTTAGCATCACGCTGTCTCATTCACACACATACATATGCGTGCTCGCTTGCTCAGGAGTCTGGAGCGATATTGTTAGATCACCCACTCCCGTCCAAAATAAAACCAGTTACTGACCGCTCCCGCGCTTTATTTAGAAATTTATTCCTGCACCCCACGAAATGCTGCCGCAGTACACCTCTACTAGACTAGACCTCTACTGTGAAGTGAATTTCACATGAATTTAATGTAACATAATATCAGTAATTTACAGTGAACTACCTCACAGTAATTTGTTGTGAATTTACATGCAGTATTTACTGTGAAAGCAATGCAAATATTAACCAGTAATTTACTGTAAATTTAAGGTAATTTTTTTTTAGTGACAAACGAGAGAAAAAAAAAGTACATATACTGCTTTAAGGGGCTAATAATATTGACCTTAACATGTTTATTTCTTAAATACTCACAACTGCTTTTATTCTAGCCAAAATAAATCAAATAAGGCTTTCTCCAGAAGAAAAAAAATATTATAGGAAATACTGTGAAAAATTCCTTGCTCTGTTAAACATCATTTGGGAAACATAAGGAGGGCTAATCATTTTGACTTCAACTGTATAATTATTCATAATTTTTTTCAAGTTCTAATTATGATTTCGATGACCTTTGCAAGCTGATAAACTTGTGTGCAACATTAGTGCATAACAATAAGCCTGGTGTGGATTTTCAATGTTCACTTTTTTATCAGCCTAATTTTTACTAATGAATGAACAACATGAATGTAAGTTGAGCAGTTTTGAAGTCTGCTTTGTGTGTTTCTCTCCAGCATGTGTTGGTGTTGTCTTCTCTCTGCGCTCTGGTTGTCTGTACATTAATTCAGGAAGTAGAAAGGGACACAATAGTGGCCTATGTGCTCTTTCACTCTGGTATATCTACACTGCTGCAGAGCTGGATTGGATCACGGTAAGATTACGTCTACCCTTTTGCTTCTGTAGGTAAGCTGATATATTGCAGTTGTGGCGTTAAATGAAATGTTTCTTGTGCTCTCAGTTTGCCATTGATTCAGGCTCCATCTTTGGACTTTCTGATCCCGGCCATGGCCTTACTTTCTGATCAGTCAGGTAAGAATGACAAGCAATTAAAAGGGGTCAGGAATGATTTTTGTATTCTCTGAAAGTGAGTCTTATAACTTATAATGTGAAAGTTCCTTTTTCATTGTTTGCCTCTCACTATTAAACTTCTGGCAAGTACAAATAACATGCTCCACCGATTCTTCCACTCCTCAACAATATCATAATCCTGTTGCGTATTTATTTATCAATCTTAAGGTGGTGTTTAACATGGTATGGTCAACTTTTAACCTTTTTAAAAAGTTTCTCCTTCAGTATTTCTAGTTATCTTCACTACCCCCACTTCTAATCCTATTTTGCATAGATGTCCTAATTTGTGGCTTTCACATTTTCTTTGCCATTCAATGGACATACATGCTTAAATGATTGCTTTTGCTTCCGATATTTAAAGATGCTCATAACATTTTACACCTATATCACCCTCTATGCTAATCTATCAGCTTCTTCGGTTCCTATTATTGGCCTATGAGCTGGTACCTACATAAATATATCCCTAATGTTCATATTATTAAACATTCATATACAGTTGAAATCAGAATTAGCCCTCCTTTGATTTTTTTTTTGTCCTTTTTTAATATTTACCAAATAATGTTTAACAGAGTAAGGGAATTTTCACAGTATGTCTGATAATATTATTTCTTCTGGTGAAAGTCTTATTTGTTTTATTTCTGTCATGACTGTCAGTGACCACCTGAGGGCGCTGTAGTTCAATGGACACTGAGTGGAACTACAGCGCCCAAAAAGACTACATTTCCATACATTCTTTCGCGCACACACCCGGTCTGTCATCTACACTGATTTACAACCACAGCTGTCTCCAATCTCCGTTGATTACCTGGACTATATATTCAGTCATTTATCCTCTGTTGTTTGTTGTCGTTCTTGGTATGTTGTTCCTGATCTTGTTAAAGTCTAGTTCGAGTTAATCTGTCTTAGTTTCTTGTTTGTTTGTTTGCTGTTTTTTTACTTTGTTACTTTGATTTTGAGATTTTTGTCACTGTTGCTGCACTCTCACATTAAAAGATCTGCACTTGGATTCTTCACCCGTTTTTGTTCCTGTTTAGATCACGCTAACGTGACAATTTAGGCTAGAATAAAAGCAGTTTTTAATTTTTTAAAAACCATTTTGGGGTCAAAATTATTAGCCCCTTTAAGCTATTTTTTTTTTTTTTTTGATAGTCTACAGAACAAACCATCGTTATACAATAACTTGCCTAATTACCCTTACCTGCCTACTTAACCGAATTAACCTAGTGAAGCCTTTAAATGTGACTTTAAGCTGTATAGAAGTGTCTTGAAAAATATCCAGTCAAATGTTATTTACTGTCATCATGGCAAAGATAATATAAATCAGTTATTAGAAGTTAGTTATTAAAACTTATGTTTAGAAATGTGTTAAACATATCTTCTCTCCATTAAACAGAAATTAGGAATAAAATAAAAAGGGGGGCTAATAATTCAGGGGGGCTGTGAATCTGTGCAACCATTACAAGACAGAAGACACAAAGAGCATATAAAGACAAACTAATCAAGAAACAAACAGGTGTGACAAATTAACAAATAATCAGATAACAAGGGTGGCGGGTGAGCATGACAGGAGTGCACATGGCTACACAAACAATAACACAATCCATGTGCTCACAATCTAAAGACATGTGGTAGAGGTGAGTTGGTTAGTCTAAATTGTCAGTAGTGTATGAATGTGTATGGATGTTTCACAGAGATGGGTTGCAGCTGGAAGGGCATCCGCTACGTAAAAACATATGCTGGGTAAGTTTGCGGTTCATTTCGCTGTGGTGAAGTTCCTACATTTTGAAAATAAATACATGTGAGTTCATATAAACATATCCGTATTTCGCCTCACTTTCGCCTCACAGCAAGAAGGTCGCTGGGTCACTGGTTCGAGCCTCGGCTCAGTTGGCGTTTCTGTGTCGAGTTTGCATGTTCTCCTTGCGTTCGCGTGGGTTTCCTCCGGGTGCTCCGGTTTCCCCCACAGTCCAAAGACATGTGGTACAGGTGAACTGGGTAGACTAAATTGTCCGTAGTGTATTAGTGTGTGTGTAAATGTGTGTGTGGATGTGTCCCAGAGATGGGTTGCGGCTGGAAGGGCATCCGCTGCGTAAAAACTTGCTGGATAAGTTGGCGGTTCATTCCGCTGTGGTGACCCCGTATTAATAAAGGGACTAAGCCGACAAGAAAATGAATGAATGAATGAAACAATCTTAATTATCTCAGTGGTGAAAATATGCGAGACTCTAGTCTGTAACACGGATCGAGTGCTTTTACGCCCCATTCACACAGGGCGTCAGCTTCAACGCTTTCCATTTACTTTAAATGGGTGACGTCAGGCATTGCCGAACTGAATTGTGGATCCGTCGGTGTTGCTTCAGAGATATTGCTTGCTGCAAAAGTTGGGATTTGCTCAACTTTTCAAGCGCCGACAGAAGCGTCAGCCAATCAGATCACTGTATGCAAATACACCAGCTCAGACAGTAGCCTATTGCTGACTAATTTAATTAACGCTGCTATGATGATCGCGTCAACCCCAACTTCAGACACGGCCTCTGTCAAGCGTTGACGCTGAAGCCCTGTGTAAATGGGCCGTTATAAGATGACAAAAGCCCACATCTACAATAACCGAAAACGGCTGCAAATCTTTAGCAATAAACACACCCACTGCCTTTTTTATTTTTATGTGTGTCTCGGAACCAGTTAGGTATGTTTGCTTGAAGGATTCAGCGAGGGATTGTTGCTATTTGGAGGACTTTATTAGCTTCTCTGCTATCCTGCCTTCAGACAGTGATATTACTGGGTGACGGCGCTGCAGATGTGCAGTCATGGTTATACGTGTAAAACAATGCTTGCACACAGTTATTTTTTTGTTCAACGTTTTTTCTTTTATTGGCATCATACTTATCGTCAAAACTGAACTGTCCTCACACTGCAGATTTGAAAGACGCCGGCGCTTCCTCGTACTGTTGCCTCACTTCACAGGTTCTTCCTTGTACTGTTGCCTCAGCCTCACTTCACCACCGCTTGCCATGTTAAAGTGTGGAATGATGGTCAAGCGCCCCCTAGCTTTGGAGCATAGTGATTGGATATTTATATATTTATATATTTCTCATCTCAGCTCATAGACTTAAAGACACACACAGTCAATTCGGGGAGATATAAAACGTGGAGATCGTACAGAACGGTTTAATATTATATTGAGAATCGTGGCATCCCTAGTATCTAGTGTTTAATTTATTGTAAATAAACACTCTGTAACCCATTTTAACATTCGCACATTTAATGATACAAAACCACAACTGATCCACCATTACCCGTATATGGGTCGACTCTCTCTGGATGTAGGGGTCTGGGTCTGGTGGCCTGAAACGTGTGTGGGTCTGCGGGCCTGCAGCTGGATGTATCTCACTTAGTTTTGCATTCTGCAAATGTTCATGTTGAATATGTTGTGTGCCAGGGTCTGCTGTGTCCTGTAGAGGGCAGTGTGTGGAACCGCAGGAGCCCGTGGCCCCGGCAAACCCAATCAGAGAGGTAGAGGAGTGCTGTCCGTGGTGCTGAACATTCAGACCACCCTCCATTGTCACAACAATCCACAGCAGCGCACAGCAACAGCTGCTTTCACTTACCTCAAACTATTCCTTTGTAAATGTTATAACCAATGTTTTACTTATAATTTATTAATTATTATTATTTAATAATTATTATTATTTAATTAAGAACATTTCACATTTCTTTTGAAAGTGCATCTGTTGTCAGTGTCTGTCCATGAAAGTGTAATCCTGTGTGTGTGTTTGCAGTTGAGAGGCATGGTAGTGGTTGCAGGGGTGGTTCAGTTGGCTGCGGGTTCGACTGGACTCGGGGGCTTTGCTCTGGGACGCTGTGGTCCATTAGTTCTGGCTCCACTGCTGTGTATTCTGGGTTTCTCCATCTACAAGGAGGCAGCGCTGCTGTGCTCTGATCACTGGGGCCTGGCGATACTGTAACGACACTCATTTTTCACATTTGTTAAGCTTCACAGGCTGATAATAGCCATTCAGGTTTGCATAAAATGATGTATAAAAATGTAGTTGTAAATAAAATATATATCCTTAAAACTTCATGTAACACTTAATGTTTTTAGCCATCTAAGAATATGAAAATATAAGAATAACTTCTAACATTATTTTAAAGCAGAGGTGTCAAACTCTTCTGAAAGGCTGCAGCTCTGCAAAGTTTAGTTCCAACCCTGCTTCAACACTCTTACCTGCAGGTTTTAAGCCTGAAGGACTTTATTAGTTGGATCAGATGTGTTTAAATAGAGTTGGAAATAAACTGTGCAGAGCTGCGGTCCTCCAGGAACTGAGTTTGACACCTGTGATTTACAGCAATGTTGCCATTTTTTTAGTGATTACCCTGGGAACATATTAAGATATATTTAAAAACATATTTAGTAACTTTTGAGTTTGTTATTCAAACAATATTTTCACCCTCTAAAATAAAATAAGTGTAAGATTTTACTGCAAGTCAACTGCTTAAAACTATGATTGTTGAATGTGTAGCTTAACTAAGTATTACAAAAATACATTAATTTATTCGTAAAAAAAAAACGTTATAAAATATAATATTTTGGTTGAAATACCTTTTAATGTCAATGTCAGTTTTATTTAGAGTTGAAACCAGAAGTTTACATAAACTCTATAAAAAGGAACATAACCATTTTTTTTTTAGAAAATGTCTGATAGTAAATCATACTAAACGTTTACTATTTTAGGTCTGTTAGGATTACCTAAATGATTTACATTTGCTAAATGCCAGAATAATGAGAGAATTTTTTGAGAATTTTTTATTAATTTCTAGACAGTCAAAAGTTTATAAACATTTCCTTGGTATTTTTTTAGCTTTGCTTTTAAACTGTATAACTTTGTTCAATTGTATTGGGTCCACAAATCCTTCCACAAGCTTCTCACAATAGTTTGAAGGAATGTTGGCCCATTTCTCCTGACAGAATTGGTGTAACAGAGTCAGATTTGTAGGCTGTCTTGCTCGAACAAGCTTTTTCAACTCTTCACACATTTTCTATAGGATTGAGCTCAGGGCTTAGTGATGGCCACTCCAAAACATTCACTCTGTTGTCTTTAAAGCACATTTTAACCAATTTGGCAGTGTGTCATAGTCATTTTGGAAAACCCATTAGTGGCCAAGTTTTACTTTCCTGGCTGATGTCTTAAGATGTTGCTTTCTACAAAATGTTCTTTCTTCATGATGCCATCTATGCTGTGAAGTGGACCAGTCCCTCCTGCAGCAATACAGCCCCACAACATGATGCTGCCGCCCCCATACTTCACAGTTGGGATGGTGTTCCTAGGCTTGTAAGCTTTCCCCTTTGTCCTCCAAACACTGGTCATTATGGCCAAACAGTTCAATCTTAGTTCGTCAGACCACAGGTCATGTCTCCAAAAATTTGTTTTTTCCCAGTGTAATTTAGCTAATTGTAATCTGGCTTTTGTTGTTGATTCTGGCTTGTTGATTTTCCCATGTTGTCATGTGAAGCAGTGTGTTTGAAGTTTTCCTTAAATACTATTCTACAGTTGTGCCTCCAATTAATTAAAATGTTGTCAATTAGCCAATCAGAATCTTCCAAAACCTTGACGCCATCATCTGAGCTTTTTCAGAGGCAGAATAATCTTATTGTATGTAAACTTGACTTTTAAGAAAAGTTATAACAATTTCTCAAAAAAAATATCTCTCATCATCTGCTGTTAAGCATAACAGAAACTAATTTGATAATTCTAACTTACCTAAAAGAGAAAAGGCTTAGTCACATTAACGTCTGACTTTTTTCAATGGTTATGTGCTTTTTATACAGTGTATGTAAACTTCTGGTTTCAACATAGCAGTATTAAACACAACCAGAGGTTGACCAATGTGCTGCACAAAACAGCACAACCAAGAAAAATAAAAAAGATTAGCTAAAACAGACAATGTTTATTGATTAAATGCCAAATCAAAAAGGTAAGTTTTTAACCTAGATTTAAAAACAGAGAGAGATAATAGACCTAATACAGAGAGGCAGAGCAATCCACAATCTAGGACCAGCTACTACGAAGGCATGTTCACCTCTGCACTTCAGCCTCGACTTAGGGATGCATGACAATCTCTTGTTAGATGACTTTAGTTAATAATAATAATAATAATTCCTTACATTTATATAGCGCTTTTCTTGGCACTCAAAGCGCTTTACACACAACGAGGGAATCTCCTCATCCACCACCAGAGTGCAGCATCCACCTGGATGACGCGACGGCAGCCATTTTGCGCCAGACCGCACACCACACACCAGCTGATTGGTGGAGAGGAGACAGTGATGAAGCCAATTGGAATATGGGGATGGTTAGGAGGCCATGATGGGCAGAGGCCAGTGGGCAGATTTGGCCAGGGAGCCGGGGTTAAACCCCTACTCTTTTCGAAGGACATCCTGGGATTTTTAACGACCACAGAGAGTCGGGACCTCGGTTTAACGTCTCATCCGAAAGACAGCGCTCACTGAGCAGTATAGCATCCCCGTCACTATACTGGGGCATTAGGACCCACACAGACCGCAGGTTGGGCGCCCCCTGCTGGCCTCACTAACACCACTTCCGGCAGCAACCTAGCTTTCCCATGTGGTCTCCCATCCAGATACTGACCGGGCGCAGCCCTGCTTAGCTTCAGTGGGCGACCATGTGAGAGTTGCAGAGAGCTAGCTGCCGGCAAGTTGGACATAAAAGCTTAACCAAATATTTGATCAAATCAAATGCAATAAGCATTTCCAACAATATGCAAATTTAAAAAATATTCTCTAATAATAGATGGCACCACTACTGTTGTTTATTGCAGTGTAAACTCTTTTATTTTGCCATGTTTAGCAATTTTCACACTAACAACCTAAAAACAAAACAAAAAAACGAAGCTATTTTTAAAACCAAACCTTATCCAAACTGAACACTATAGTTGTTTGTGTTAATGAAAATCCAATTAACCAAATATTGTTGTGTTTTACTGATACTAAACAATAATGCATAATACTGCATTTGTTAAATTATTTGTTAACGTTCCCGTGAACCAGAAGCTGTGATTGTTGTTCTTTTTGTAACGTGATGCAGTTCCTAGAGAAACAAAATTTTCAATAAGCAACCATTGGGCGTGGCTTGTTCTTACTACTGCGAGCTGATTGGATGTAGTAAAGTAGGCATTTCATTCGGAAAGATGGGGAAAAGGGTTTTAGAAGAGTTATTACAACCAAAGAGCTTAGAATGACCAAGAGTCGACACTCAATAGAACATTCCATTGCAACAGCAGCGCCCAGCAACAGCCGCGGATTACGCCATTTTAGAGTGAAAGCGGTCAGCTCTCCATTGGATCTTATTGCTGTTGCGATGACAAGCAGCTACTTTGTTTTTTATTAATCTATTTAAAGAGTACATTAAAGCTGAGATACAACCTGAAAGACGACATTACAACACTTACTATCACAATCATCAGCACTTTTAATAGTTTATTTTACAGACTTATAATATGCTGTTGTTCTACTGGAGTTTTCATTCCAAAATGGCCGCCGCGGCATCTAGTGGCTGTTTCCTAAATCGCACTAGAGTGTCGCCTCTTGGTGATTCTATGCTCTTTGTTACAACCTAACAGACACTTCATTCTCATCATTTCCGTTAGTTAACCCTGCAGAAAAAAACAGCTTAAACCAGCCTAGGCTGGTTGGCTGGTTTTAGCTGGTCGACCAGGCTGGTTTTAGAGGGGTTTTGGCTGTTTCCTAGCCATTTCCAGCCTGGTCTTAGCTGGTCAGGCTGGGAGATGACCAGCTAAAACCAGCTTGACCAGCTTAGCCAGGCTGGGAGCCCAGCCTAAACCAGCTATGTCCAGCTTAAACCAGGCTGGTCAAGCTGGTTTTAGCTGGATTTAGCTGGTCATTTTCCAGCCTGACCAGCTAAGACCAGGCTGGAAATGGCTGGAAACCAGCCTGGAAATGGCCAAAACCCCTCTAAAACCAGGCTGGTCAACCAGCTAAAACCAGCCAACCAGCCTAGGCTGGTTTAAGCTAGATTTTTCAGCAGGGAAAGCAGAGTTAGCCACACCCGTTACCACAAAATCAGGTCATCTGATAAATTAACTGAAAACACACAAGTGCAATGTCAGATTTCAATGAAAAATTAGAGAGACAAACTATTGTATCTTTTCTTAATGACATGCACAGATGAATTGTTCACCACAAAACTAGCAATGTGAGCAAACAAAATCATGGAGACTTATATTATGTAGGTGATAAAATGTTTCCTCATTTACACATTTATGAAATGCTAAGGTTAAGTGCTCTAAATGTACATTTCATTATGTTTAATTAACAAATATTGTCAACTAATGTTAACAAATGCAACCTTACTGCGAGTGTTTTGACTGTTTGCTTTTGCCAATTTACTATGTGACTGCAGTAAAACACTGATACTAAGTTCTCTCTCTCTGTTTGTTTTGTTTTGTTTCAGGGCAGTTGTTCTACTAGTAATCCTGTCTCAGCATCTTCACTCTTTTCTGCATCTTTCTGTGTTGTCCGTCTGCAGGAGACTCTCTGTAAGTCTGAACAGGCACAAGGCATCTTGTCGAAATCTTTGTAAATGGTTACATGTAAAAAAAAAAATGTGCAGTGTTGGTAGTCGTGCAGGAATGTGGTTGATAAACACTGATCTAGTTGAAATAACATTACCACATTACCATATTGTGTTGTAATAGTGCTAATAAACGTAGCAGTGCCTGCACCACAAACACAGCTCCATCCTAAATAGTGTTTGAAAATAGAATTATTATGTGTCAAACCGCAGTATGTCGAAAAGAGTATGCCAAAAGTTTCTGGATGGTTTACTATTTCAGGTAGAAATTTGAAGTTTAAATTTAATCTAAATTTAACCCCAATCAGTGGTGTCCCTGCTAAAAAAATCCAGCTTAAACCAGCCTAGGCTGGTTTAAGTTGGATTTTTTAGCAGGGTTAAATTAACTAATTACAAACACTCCAATTACTGTAATTGAATAGTTTTTCTCAGAAATTGTAACTTAATAAGTAGTTTTAAAAATGTGTACTTTTATTTTACCTTGAGTTAATTTTTAATGCTGTGTCGGTACTTTTACTCCACTACTTTCCTTCAACCTTCAGTTACTACTTTATCTTTTCCTGTCTATGGATGGTGAGCTACCTCAAGACATGGGTGATTTATAATTGCAGCATTCTGTTTGGAAGCATTTAAAGTGTCCAAAAGATGTCCAAAATCTTTACACGCCATGATCCAGAGACTGTTTAGATGCAAGTCACTCATAAGATGATGACGAATGTTTACTGTATGATAACTGAAATTACCTTGCACCCCCAGCAAGCACAAGACGTCAACATGACGTCAGATTGATGTTGTACCCCAATGTCATGGGGACATTGCAATTTGTTTGGAAATGAAAATCGGGTTGACGTCAAAATTTCACATCAGGCAGTGTCAATGTTTAACGTCCAACCTAAAACCAATCAAATATCAACTTCTAATGATGTTACAGCTTGACGATGTGCGGGCGTTACCACTGTGACGTCTATAAGATGTTGGATTTTGGTTGCCATACCTAATGAATAAATGTCAGTATTTGATGTCAATATAATGTTGGACTAAGACGTTGGCTCAATGTTGGATTTTGGTCACTTTCCAACACAATCAACCAAATATCAATGCCGTTAGACGTTGTTATTGGACATCAAAAGAATGTTGTCTTTAGAAGCTGGCTGGACAATAAATTTTGGTCACCTGACGTCACAACCTAAATCTGACCAAATATTAACGTCTTATAATGTTGAGTGCCTGCTGGGCAATAACTAAATGCACTACAGAATGTTACGTTTACACACATCCACAAATTACTTAAATGTAATCACAAATTACGTAAATGCATCAGCTTTCTACAGCGTAAAACTCACTACTCTTGAGTACTCTTGGAAGGTCTACTATTTACTCATACTTGAGTAATATTTACAACAGATACTTTTAGTCTACTTGCACTACATTTTTAGGCAAGTAATGGTACTTTTGCTTAAGTCAGATTTTCAGTACTGTTTCCATTTTCAATACATCGAGCATTAAATGTGAATTCTGTTAGAACTAACAGCTCGGGTACAAAGTGTAAACAAACTACAAACATGGTGGACACGTGAGGCTAACTGTCAAGTAGAGAGGCTTCGGTAAAGTTGTTTTAATGATATTAATGATATTTTAATGTATTAATTAATATCTATCCAACTGAAAAATATTTTAAATTATGTTTTCAGTGTTATATTTTATCAGCAACAACAATGTGAACTTCAAAACATGTTTGGACATTACTTTCTGTATTCATAATTATCCAAAAACCTGGACAAACCTAACAGTTGGGTTAACGAAAATCTAAATAATGTATAAAAAAGTTTATTCCAGCGTTTAGTACGTCATTAACAGAACTCAAGTTTACTTTTACTTCCAGCCCAAGTGTAACACAGACACCTTGAGTCATGATTTATAGGATTTCCAGTTTCGAGCTGGTGTTCGATCTCTTAACCTGCAGTACATTAGACTGATGTTTGGCCTGTAAGAAGATTATGTCATTGATCTGGGCAAAGTTTCCCAACGAAGAGGTGCCTTGTGTTACAGTGATCTTTGACTTAAGTGTTCTTAATTCAATATGAGCTTGAATGTTGTCAAAGGTTATGGGAAACAGTTTGTGGCTTTTTTCATGAGTGATCGTAAGCTCAAACTAAAATCTTATTTAAATGTTTCCTCTGCTGTGTTAAAGTAGACACTGTGTCTGCATGTCTAGTTCATCTATTTGAGTTTGTGCCGATGTGTTAATGTGGTGTTTGTGTGTAGCTGTAGGTACATATTTGGACTTTTAAAAACTATTGACTTGTGCCAAGACACAAATTTCAAAAGTTCAGAAATAGAATTGGATAAACTGACAGTGGGCAGGTGATAGAGACCAGAACAAAGACAGACTTCCGACACTGAATGACCATTTTTAAAGGAGATTAACTGAATTTAGCATTGTTTTTCAGATAAATGTCAACTTAGCATGTCTCTTAAATATCTGCAATTATATTATTCTATTCGTATGCTTTAAAAGAGTCGAAAACCTAAATAGAGCACATTTAATGAATCTATCATTTTGACTTATTATCGCCACCTACTGGCGGTTTAAGGGTAATATTGATTTTCTGTAAATAAAATTATAGGCAGTAAAACAATTTCCATTACACTCCACTCCCAATTTACATTTCTTGTCGGCTTAGTCTCTTTATTAATCCCGGGTCGCCACAGTGGAATAAACCGCCAACTTATCCAGCACATTTTTACGCAGCGGATGCCCTTCCAGATGAAAGAATGATGCGCAACAAGAAAGCACCACCCCCAATCTATATCCCATTTCAGTTGGATGCACATCCCTATACATACCTAAAAGTCTCAGCAACTTATGGTTCATGTGGGTTTTGAGCAACACTGTTAACAGTTTCCTGTAGTTCAGTCTCCTGTATCTACAGTAACTTACTGTCCGCAGTTCGCCAGTAACTTACTGTAAACCAATTACAGCAGAAATACTGTATTTACGTTTGCACCATTTATTTTGCTGTATATCTATTTACAGCATTGTTTATTTTTGCTGTAAATATACAGCCATTTTCACAATGCAATTTTAAAATACAGTAGCATACTTTACAGTAAGATATACGTAGTTCACATTACAGTTAAATACTGCAACCCAGGCTCATTCTGAAAACGTAGTCCAGCGGACGTTTCTGGAGACCGCAAAATACGTCCCGGGAGGTATCGGACTCGAACCCGGACACCTTTGTCAACTCCTCCTCTCTGTATCTGAAGTCCGCCGACGCACACGATGAGCTGACCGAACAAACTGATTGCGGCGGGAAAGCCCTCCACACGGAGGTAAACAGTCAGCCGGCAAGCCCAAAAGGGAACAGCGTCACACAGCCCCGTAGCGTTCGCTTAAAAAAATTAAATGCAGCCATATGTACCACCCGGGACGTATTTCGCAGCCTCCAGAAACGTCCACAGGACTACGTTTTCAGAATGAGCTTGGGTTGAAATACTGTCTCATTTTCAAAAATCTTTAGCAGTGTATATATTACCCTGAACTATCTTTTCAGTCCCTGTAGTGATGAGAAAAGTTGACACAGACTATTGAATTTCATGCTTTTCCATCTTAAAATATGACAATCATACAAAAAACTACATGGTCCTTGTAAGGTCTTAAAATTTCAAAGATAAAAACAAAACATTGCTTGACATCTCACACCATGTCATTAATTATTTAACAGATTTTAAGACCTCCCAAATTTTGTGATGTCCTTATATGGAAAAATGTAATGTAATAAGGTGTCCTAACTTTTTCACATGACTTTGTTTCTGTATGTCAAAAAATGTTTATTAGCACTACACTCTCAGTAACGCATATATTTGTCTTCTATGTCTCCTTCCCGTACAGGTACTTCTGTCTGTGATGGTGACTTGGGTGGTTTGTGCAGCACTTTCACACTGGGGTCACGTCCATCTCAACTCAGTGACCGAGATGATCTCAATAAACACAAACGCCACCTTCAATCAGTACCAAAACAGTCCACAATCAATCCACAAGCTCATCATTCACAATGGCTCTCTGCCCTGGCTGGACTTTCCCCTTCCTGGTAATGGACATGTTTTTTCAGTTTTACTTGCACAGTTTTAGCAGAGGATCTGATCATTCAAAACTCTAATTGTATCATGAATAGAATAATTTACAGTGTTTAAGAGATGGATTCTCACGCAAGTCATAAGCTAATTGCTAATAAATGATTTGCAAGTATAAGAGTATTTGGTAACACTAGTTTAGGTCACAAGTCATGCTATTAACTACTGGCTTATCACCTGCCTATTATTAGGATGTTATCTATTCGTTAGTTGTTACACAGTCTTATACATCCTTAATCCTACCCAAAACCTAAACCCAACTTCTACCTTACTAACTATTAATAAACAGCTATTTAGTAGGTTACTACTAAGCTAGCAGTGTTAGTTAATGGTTAATACTGTGAATTGTGACCTAAAATAAAATATTTCTTTGTTAAAATCAAGCTTCATCATAATTAAAATATTATTATATTATATTATATTATATTATATTATATTATATTATATTATATTATATTATATTATATTATATTATTTTATATTATATTGAATTATATTATATTATATTATATCATATCATATCATATCATATCATATCATATTATATTATATTATATTATATTATATTATATTAGTTATCTCCATTTACTAAAAGAAATATGACTTTAGGTTATCAAACGTTAACTAAGAAATAACCATCACCTAAGATTAATAAATGCTTTACAACTAGTGTTAAAAGTCTATAAAATCCTAATCAATAACTTTCAATATTTTAATTGAAAAAAAAAACAATATCTTGGGCATATTGGAGGCCAAATTAACAAGTAAAATGTTTTAAAATGTTTTAAAATACAGTTGAAGTCGGAATTATTAGCCCCCTTTAAATTTATTTATTTTGGTAATATTTCCCAAATGATGTTTAACAGAGCAAGGACATTTTCACAGTGTGTCTGATAATATTTTTTCTTCTGGAGAAAGTCTTATTTGTTTTATTTCGGCTAGAATAAAAGCCGTTTTTAATTTTTTAAACACCATTTAAAGGTCAAAATTATTACCCCCTTTAAGCTATATTTTTTCCAATAGTCTACAGAACAAACCATCATTATACAATAACTTGCTTAATTACCCTTACCTGTCTAGTTAACCTAATTAACCTAGTTAAGCCTTTAAATGTCACTTTAAGCTGTATAGAAGTGTCTATCTATCATGGCAAATATAAAATAAATCAGTTATTAAAACTATTATGTTTAGAAATGTGTTGAACAAATCTGCTCTCCGTTAAACAGAAATTGAGGAAAAAGAAAGATTTTAAGAGAGAAAATAAATATAGACAATAGAATATATAATAATTATATTAAATTTATTTTTTAAAACACACACAGAGATTTGTGATACACAGATACAACACAGTATTTGAGCCATTTCTTTAATAAATAACCCTGTACAGGACAACAGATGACAAAAAAGCTGCTGCTTTGAATTGGACTGACTACTATTAATCTATTGATCATATCCATTAAAAATAAACCCCCCAAAAAATCAAAATACAGTAAAAACTTTCTAAGTTTGTTGAAACGCATCAATCTGAAGGAGGTTGGGTTTTTAGGATACTATTAGAGTTCATTGACATTAGTAAACAGCTGTTCACTAAACACCACAGCTAGATCCTCCTGTATGGGTGCGCGGCCATTAAAAAACACCCACACTCGAGTTAGAGAACATTAGTTTGGACAGCTATGCTGATATTTTTAAGAGTTCAATATTTATGATATTTGATATTTAAGAGTCGCAGACGTGAGGCACGCACGAACTGGTTATAACTAATCGCCGTTACATTTGTGTGACTGTTTGGTTTATAGAGCTGTGCATGTAGTCCTAGTTGACGTGCAGCGGTTGGAAGTGCAGCCAGCATTAAGTCTGTATTTTACAGTGAGGCTCTTTTTGCACCAAGTCCGAAGAAATAAATAACGGAAGACGGTAAATGCCATTACACCAATCATTTTTATATAAAACATATTTAATAATGAAATCAAATAATTATATTACAAAGTTCCTTTTCAGCTATCTCGCGGCCCACCTGCAGGATCGCTGAGGCCCAATAGTAATAAGTCTAAATGATGATGTCATAAAAATGCATTTTCTGATTGGTGCTTTGGATGCTATCGACATCTCCATTATTGAAGAACTAAAAAAATCTTGGGAGAAAGACTATACTGTACAAATAATTGTAGTTTTAGATGAATTGCAATTGTCAAATGTTAGTCATTAAAACAGTCAACAAAAAATAAGTACAGAGGTGACTCCTACAATACTTCAGTGGCAGTTTAAAATGCCAGAAGTTGATCTGCATGTGCACTGTATAGTGAACGAAGAGGAAAGATGTACGCCTAAAGTTGTCAAAGTGCCACAACATATGAAACACAAACGTTTAATAATCAAAAACTGCTGACAGCTTATACATCAGGAGCAAGATATACTAATGAAGAGCTTATTTGCAAAACAACTAGATATTTGAAAAATTATGTGAACAAAAATATTACATAAACTCTTCAATGATCATCCTTTTACAATATTAAATCAAAGAGAACATGTTACATTTTGTGTGAATATCTACTCGTACAGTAGGAGTTGAGGTTTGCTTCATTGTTTACTTCACTTGGGTTTATTAGTGAAGCGATTGATCCAATAGGCCTGCTGATGGAAGGTTTGCAAAGGCATATCATGCTTCCTTGTCAAAGTGTTTTGTAGTATTTTTAAAATACAAAAGTACAGTATTTTATTTTAATACATCTTGTAGATGCTGTATTTGATAGTTTATTTCAATAATTTTTTTTTATGTAATCATTTGGCCATTTCATTTTCATTGTTCATTGTTCGATGCTTGTGTTTGCTCTATGCGCTCAGCTTCATCACTCCCCCTGCTGTCTGGAAGAAGTGTTGCAGCAGGACTGGCTGGAGGTCTGTCTGCCAGCATGAGTTCTCCAGCTGTGTATGTGTTGTGTGCTCGGCTGCTGAAGGCTCCAGTTCCCCCCGCTCATGCCTGTAACAGGGGCCTGTGTGTGGACGGACTGGGCAGTGTGTTCGCTGGGCTGATGGGGGCGCCGGTAGGACTGTGCAGCAGTGCGTCTAATGCATGTGTTATTGGGCTCAGCCAGGTAAGGGACTGTTGATATTCTAACTCATTTTATTAATATATTATATATATATATATATATATATATATATATATATATATATATATATATATATATATATATAAAATAAAATAAATAAATAAATAAAAATTATATATATATATATATATATATATATATATATATATATATATATATATATATATATATATATATATATATATATATAATTTAAAATTTTTTTTTTTTTTTTTTTGCTAATTGCAACAAGTCTGTTTTATGTCATTATGTTTCTCAGTCTGGGTCCAGAAGCACAGTGCAGCTCGCCGGCGTCTCGCTGTTAATTTTGGGATTGTCTCCTCAGTTAGCTCAGATGCTCTGTTCAGTCCCTTTGGCCATCCATGGTGGGAGTTTTCTTTATATCGATTTGCACTTTTGTTTTATGATGGAATGCTAGTTCAGTTTATTAAGGATTTCTGATTTATGTTTACGAAAAGTGAAATTAGATTATTAAAGAGCCCCTATTTTGCATTAAAAAAGGTCATATTTTGGATTTGATGGTCTCCATCAACAAGCGGATATACATACAACGTCCAAAAAAACACGTTCGTTGTCTTCTAATATGCATTTATTTTACTTAATTATCCTAACAACTCCTATATGATTCGTTCAGCGATTCATTTGTTCCCAAACCCCTTCTTAGCGCAATGCTAATCGGTGCTAATTGGTCCGATGACCCAGTTTGTTGTGATTGGTCGACTGGGTTCAACGCATTTATGTAAATCTGTAAAGAAAGAAACAGGCGTTGTGTTTTTAATGTGGTTTTGGATGCATTATTTGAATAGCCCCATGAAAATTTAACGTGAGAGATACAGTACAAGCGCTGATCTATCTATCTGACTATAATAAATTAGCTGAGCAGGGCGATTAAAAGTTACAACATACAATTAATACATATTTTGCAAACTACACAAAATGAGGCAACAATTTGGTCCCACTTTATATTAAGTGTCCCTAACTACTATGTACTTACATCAAAAAAATAAATACAATGTACTTACTGTGTTTATAATGTATTTGAGAACACTTGTGGTGCTTTTGAGTTGGGATAGAGGTTGGGTTATGGACAGGTTTGGTGGCATGGGTAGGATGAAGGGTGGGTTAAGGTGTAAGGGATGGTCAACAGTGTATTTACAAATGCAATTACAAAAGTTAATTACAGAGGTAATTACATACATGTATTTAATCAAGCATAAGTACACAGTAAATACATGTATTTACACAATAAGTACATTGTTACAAACTATTAATTCCTATGTAAGTACATGTTAGTTAAGGCCACTTAATATAAAGTGGGACCAACAATTTTAATCACACTTACATATTATGATCCAGAGGAAGAAGAAACTTGTCCATATGAACTGTCCTGGTCCTGTCAAAGTCTGACAAACTCCCATACATAACTGTCTCTGTTGCTCCTTCCTATAATAGCAAACTGTCGACATATCCCGGTTATTCCGACATATCACGATTATTGTATCAAAAATCAGAAAAATGACTGGATCAAACACAGCTTGTGCTTGGCTATACTGTAGAGTTGTTGAGAAAATGAACTCCCTACAGCTGAATCTCTGTCTGTCAGTGATCATTATCTTTGTGTCATGATCAGTCTCGTGATCCTCAGAGCACATTTTACCGGATCTGGCACTTCATATTTGGTGTTTCACTATGTCAAGGATGATGCGTTCAAGCAAAATATCCGAACCCAACTCGATTCATTCATTCGACTCTGAGCCGACTATTTCGTTAAAGAGTAAATAGTTTTAAACACGGTGCTCTTTCAGATTTAAACCTCAGCTGGATGTTTTCATTCACTTAGTCCTGTGTTACACTGCATGGAAGGTCATTTACAAAACCCATAAAAGGGGCTCTTTAAAGACACAAAATGAGTAATGTTATTAGTAACACTTTACATTAAGGTTTCATTAGTTAATATTATGTAATGAACAAAATAATTTATGTATTTATTCATCTTTGTTAATGTTAATGACATTAAAGTTGTCTATTGCTAATTCTTACTAACTCACTGCAATTGAAATTTTGTTGCAATTGTTTTTTTTTTATAATTAATACATTTTTTAAATCATAACAAGTACATATTTTTGTTTTTAGGTTTGGTTTAAAAACGTACAGTATGAATTAGGGATGTAACAATATTGTAAATACCGCCATACCGCAATAGTAATTTTTTTTAATATTACCGTAGGCGCATAACTCAATAAAACTATATTTCTGAGAAAAGTTTGCTTAGGCGAATGAAGCGAGCAGGAGGTAGCGGGAACTACAAATCCCATCAGCCTAGGCGTAGCCATCATCCTTTGCGGTCTGTTGTCACTACAGATCCAGTAATTCGCAAATGGAGTGTGTTGCTAGTAGCGGGGAAGAAAAAGAGCTGGAAATGATCAAACCTAAAGCGGGTTTTAAATCGGCTGTGTGGAAGCATTTCGGTTTCTTTCTAAAAAGATACGAAAAAGGAGAAAAGGTGACAGACAAAGAAAAAAACAGTATGCAGGCACTGCCAGACTGTGGTGAAATATAAGTCGGGGAATACGACTAAAAACAGTCATGGGGACTGCAGAACACAGCAGTTAGATTGATGCAGACATTGACTTGTACCGCAAAGAGACCTCTATCTCACTCATGGCTTGTCCTCTCAAGTGGTGGAAAGACAATGCACAACGTTACCCACTGCTGTCAACCTTGGCTAAATCATATCTCTCTGTCCCAGAAACCTCAGTCCCAAATGAGAGGGTTTTTTTTTTTCTGTTGCAGGGGACATGCCCAGAGATCCCAGCTTTTACCAGATAATAGTTATATGATAATTTCCCTTAAAACCCCCATCTCTATCTAAGTGAGTGCGTGATTAAATGTTGAATGTGATGAGTTTTCAACAATACTAAAATGAAACTTTATTTTTTATATATGGTTTAATAGTTTTTTGTTATTAAAATTCATTCATACCGAGGTATTATCGTACCGTGAAATTCTGATACCGTTACATCCCTAGTATGAATGCTAAGCAATTGAACCCACACACAAAAAATACTTTAGTAATTTGTACTAAATGAATATCGAATCTAATAAATATAGTACCTTTACATTTGTAACCACAGCAGTGAGATTTATAAAGAAAAGAAGAACAAAACATATTTTGAGTGGCAATGTTTGTAGTTTTTGGTGTAAATAATTATATAAAATTCATGCGCACATTGAGGTTTCCTTAGGTTAAGCTATAGTTTTATTCAGTCTAATTACCTTGTTAAGACAATAGTATTAACACCTGTTTCATGTTCTCTAAGGTGCTGTGCTTAGTGTAACCTACGCACTTGCTGTAGCAACAGGCATAACGTACTTCCAACATGCTGATGTGGACTCAGGACGCAACATCTTTAACATCGGCTTTACAATGTTCATGTCATTAGCACTGCCGCACTGGTTCAGACTTCACTCTGGATTTATACAAACAGGTACCATTTCATGTGTGACGTGTTTTGTTACACTTAATTTAGATTTGGAAATTAAATTAGGAAATTTAAATGAATTAATTGTTATCTCTGTGTCTTCAGGTGTTGGCAGTGTTGACGTTTTTCTTCAGTCTCTTTTAACCTTACCTGTTTTTCTTGTGGGAGTCTTGGCTTTTCTTCTAGAGCACACGGTTTCAGGTAGAACAACAATTTAATTACTTTTTTAAGTTAGTCTGTTAAAGGAACACTTCATTTTTTTTTGGATATAGACTGATTTTACAATCACCACAGCCTGTTTTATGTCGCCACATTCATATCACCCTGCAGCCCAAGATCGGTTACTCACTGAAGCTAAGCAGGGCTGAGCCTTGTCAGTACCTGGATCGGAGACCACTAGGGAACACCAGGTTGCTGTTGGAAGTGGTGTTGGTGAGGCCAGCAGGGGGCGCTCAACCTTTGGTCTGTGTGAGTCCATATGCCCCAGTAAAAGTGAAGGGGACACTACACTGTCAGTGGGTGCCGTCTTTCGGATGAGACGTTAAATCGAGGTCCTGACTCTCTGTGATCATTAAAAATCCCATGGCACTTCTCGTGAAAGAGCAGGGGTGTAACCCCGGTGTCCTGGCCAAAGTCCCTCTATCAGCCCTTACGATCATGGCCTCCCAATCATCCCTTTCCACTGAATTGGCTCTCTCACTGTCTCTCCACTCCACCAATAGCTGGTGTGTGGTGAGCGTACTGGCGCCGTTGTCCTGTGGCTGCCGTCACATCATCCAAGTGGACACTGCACACTGTTGGTGGAGTGGAGAGACCCCCCCTCAGGATTGTGAAGTGCTTTGGGGTGTATGGCCATACATGATAAATGTGCTATATAAATACATATTACATAACATTACATTACAAGTAAACAGTGGAGTTTTATCTCCAGACAGGAGCACTATTAGCTTAGCTTAGCATCAGTCATTGTATCGTATTAGACGTTAGCATTTTGCAATAGGTTGTTTTCAATCACGTGGTTCTGACGACGTGCAAAATAGAGTGGAGGAACTATGACGTCACCTTGTTAATCGGCTGCTAGCATAAAACTGGTTCCCTCGATAAATTCCCTACAGGATTTTCCTATAGGCTTTTCGAAGATTACAAATAATTATTACACTTACATGTTTTGTCCAGCCGGATAATCCTTACATGAAAATACAACTTTTAGCACTTTTGGATCTTAAATGCAAACGCAAAAATTGAAAAGCTAACATTAAGCTTTAAACAGACTACTCTGCCTACCATGCATTTGAGCATTTTTTTATTATTTGCACATTTATTGAATAGAAATGTATCCGTTTCACGTATAAAAATTCGTTTTCAGATGGTGACTTTATAGCAATGTGCATGCAGTCGATCGCTCCGATTACATTGGGAAAACCGGCGATCGCGGCAAGTTGCTCTTTAATGTTTGGCTGGTCAACTGCATGGTATGGAGACCTTATATACTTGCTAGACATGCAGATGATCCCGTCCCATACAGCTGCCATTGCACGGCTCAAAGATACTTTGTAGTGCAATTCAACACAATTGCCTCTAGGAGTCGCCAATGGAACTAAAACAAACACACAAGAAATGCACGTACGCCAGGCATGAATTTGGACCAACGCACATTCTCACGTTGATTTCATCGTTAGTAAATACAAACGTGAGAGTGAAACCTGGCATACGCAAAGTTTTTGTGCGTACGCACCGTTGATTCATGAGGCCCCAGCTGAATAAAAAAAAAATGGTAAAGTTAATTAAAACTAGGGAGGTTTAAAACTAGTCTTTTTTTCCAAAAAAGATTTTAAAAAGTAATTTAAAGGGGTCATGACATAAGTTTGTTTTCCTTATTTATTTTTTCTTCATTCATACATTTATTTTCTTGTTGGCTTAGTACCTTTATTAATTCAGGGTCGCCACAGCGGAATGAACCGCCAACTTATCCAGCAAGTTTTTACGCTGCGGATGCCCTTCCAGCCGCAACCCATCCACATCCACACACACATTCACACACACACTCATACACTACGGACAATTTAGCCTGCCCAATTCACCTGTACCGCATGTCTTTGGACTGTGGGGGAAACCGGAGCACCCGGAGGAAACCCACGCGAAGGCAGGGAGAACATGCAAACTCCTCACAGAAACGCCAACTGAGCCGAGGTTCGAACCAGCAACCTTTTTGCTGTGAGGCGACAGCACTACCTACTGCGCCATTTATTTATTTTGTTTATTTATTAATTTATTAATTTATTTATTAATTTATTTATTTAAAAGGTGTTGTACAATTAAAAAAGTAATGAACAGTATGTTTTTGCTTTATCTGTAAATGACTGTATATAACATGCACTAGTAAGGGGATTTTGTTCCTTTCTTAAGTATTTACTGAAGAATTTAATGGAGAGAAAAAAAATCTTACTGACCTTAATCTGTTGTAAATGAAACCCCACTCTATGTAGTAAACACATTGATTAAAACACACACTAAGCTCAAATTTATTGTATTTATTTATTGCAATTCAGGGACTTTGCCTGAAAGGGGTCTTGTGCGACAAGAAGGCACAAAGAAGATTCAGTCTTTCGCTGATCAGCAACAGGGATACAGTCACAGTCCAGACCCGGTGTATGATCCACCTGCACCTGTGATGAAAGTTCTGAACCTGACCGGCTTCAGAACCGTCCTCTTCTGTGCCTGCAGGACTCACACCGTTGAAGAAGTGCTGGTGACAGAACCTGAGATGTCTAGCTTATTACCTGATAAAGATACTGGTGCCTGCAATGGCTGATTTTTTGCAGCTCGGTCCATATTTTATTTGAATTTTCAAAATGTATTTATCTTGTCTGTTTCCTGGTTGTGTTATATAAATCGAAGTATGTCAAAAATAGTATGACCTTCTTTAAAAAAAAAGTTAGCTCACTTAGAAAACAGTATATGAGACATTTACAACATAGGCTCATTCTGAAAACGTAGCCCTATATACGTTTCCAGAGATCGCAAATTATGTAGCCAGAAGTATGTATGGCTGCATTTAATTTTCAAGATGAATGCTATGATGCTGTACCTTTTTGCGCTTACCAGCTGACAGCTTACCTTCGTATGGACGGCTTTCACGCTGTTATCAGTTTGTCCCTTTACCTTGCCATGTACGTCGGCGGATTTGAAATGCAGAAAGGAGTTAACGACGTCGGGGATCGAGTCTGGCGAAAAAACACTTCTAGAAAGCAGCAAGCCAAAAAATGAACTAAACAAGTAAATTACAGCGTGAGAGTGTGGTAAAATGTGGTAAAAATCAGGTGAAGGCTTTTCTTTTTCTGGATTGCTTTTGAAAATTGTTGGTTGGGTTTAGGGAAGTTGGTGGGCGAGTCAATCAACACAGTTGGATGGGTTTTGGGAAGGAGGAGGGTGGGTCAGTCGATCGGTCAGTCAGTCGACAGCGGCCTCTGGTTGATTTCCGTGAGATCTGCAGGCGAGAATGGCACTTGTGAGAGAAATTGGAGATCTGAAAAAGCGTACACAGCGGCTTCTGTTGGATTCACTAGACAAAAACTGCAAAAAAAAAATTGCTCCTGGAATGTATTTGGTGCTCTCCAGAAATGTATGTAGAGGTACATTTTCAGAATGAGCCTGGGTTGGAAGTTTAGACTAACAAGTCTTTAAACAGCATGTAGGTGTTTTGTTAGTTGTTGCTAGAATAACTGAATCACGAGCTGTATAAACCACACCCTTTTCTGGAAAGAGGCGGAGACATGCAGCTAATTTGCATTTAATGAAAGATACAAAAAGATGAATATTCCTGCTTCATCCCAAAAATAAGAATGCAAAGCTATAATGCAGTTCACCTATCGTGGCTTTGCATTTTCGCAAATTTGTTAGAGCAATTTTACTTTTTTTAAATACTTCGATTTCAATGTGATTATAATACTCTGATTAAGAGTTAACCATGTAAACAGCCATTTTTGATTAATGTAATCAGATTAAGGTCATAATTGAACTAAAGAGAAATTTAGTTAGGACGTGTGGAGTCGATTTTAATCGCATTATTGAAGTGCATTACTGACATGTAAACACCTTAATCTAATTATTACCGTCATGTATGACTTTTCGCAACGTTCTGCGATAGGATAGTCCACACCAGCCTGATCTCACAAGGAAATGTTTTTTACATTTTGTCAGTTTAGCTGCCGATTTGTACAAATTCGTACGAAAATGTACTATTTCAAAAAGGAGGCGTGGCACCTAACCCCAACCGTCATTGGCCGATAAGCAAATCGTACTAAATTGTACGAATTAGATTGTACGAGTTCATACAAATTAGCCACTAAATCAAATAGTCACGAATTGCCGTGAGATTGTGTTGTCCACACACACTTGGTTGTTTGACACTCTTTGCACCTACCGAGTCAATGCACACCACAGACACCTGTATCGTGAAATTCGAAGGTTTTTTTTCCTCCACTCAGCATTCGGTAAGATCTTCCATTAAAACAAAACTCTTCCAGCAGTTCATAGTTGCATCCAGTATCTCGTTTGTCACGGTAGCATGCATGAATTGAAGTGAAAGTGCCAAACTGCAGTTAAAATCGACAAATTAACAATGAAACACCCAAAATTACTCCGGAGGAAATGCGGATAGCGTGATGACGCAATGATGTTAATTTAAGTTTGTGCTATAACATGTTAAACGGGATCATGAAAGAAACATCAAAAAGCAACTCATTAACACCTTAATCTTATTATTGTTTTAGTTAGATTAAGGCAAATAATTTGATTACTGATGTCCATGTAAACGTAGTCAGTGATGAATGTTTGCGCCTCAACAGGTTTTGATCTTTGACTTCATTCTATAATACTGAACTTATTTATGAAAGTTTGAACTTTGAGAGTGCTTAAACAGAAGAGAAAAGTATGAAATTGTTAATGCCTGTATAAGAAAAGTGTATAAAGTTTGTAGTGAGGGGTTTTACCAGCCTGATCTCACCAGAAAGTATATTACGTTTTGCCAGTTTAGTGGCTAATTCGTACAAGTTCAGTCATACGAAATTGTACGGTTTTTAAAAAGGAGGCGTGGCACCTAACCCCACCCCTAAACCCAACTGTCATTGGGGGATGAGCAAATCGTACTTGATGGTATGAATTCATAAGAATTAGCCACTAAATGAAAAGTTACGAATTGCCGTGAGATTGTTAAGGGTTTTACATCCTTAAAACATCTTTAGTATTTGTAAAAAAGAAAAAAGCTGACTACTTCACAGATTTTGCAGGGGTTTTTTAGAGCGTAACTCCCACAAATATCAAAGGACCATTGTACAGCATGTTATAATAGCATTCTGGGGACATCTGAGACTTATATTTCATATTGTCCCACTGGTTGAAAAATTTAATACACCTTATTCATTTCTCTTGGTCTTCTTGGAACAGAGCAGGTGTGTCTACTGAAAAACTAAAGAAAGACAAAGACAGGTATTTCCGTAATCTTTAATTCTGAAAAATAGATCTTTAAATAGTTTTACAAATATTATATAATTTCTGACATCTTTAAGTAAAATGTAAATAATGCCACAAAACAGATAAATACAGTAAGTTGTATGGAAAACTGAGTATTACCGCATAAAGCACACATAAGGACTACATAAACATTGCTACACATTGCACAGAGTAAACTCTTAATTTGTTCGAAATAAGCCTTCATAAAAGTACTCGAAACCCTTATGTATGCTAGATGGAGAAATACAGTGTACAATGTGACCATTAAATATTGATTAAGCTGGAAAAGACACTTCTTTTTTACAGTGAGAAACATGTAACTGACCATATGCATGAACGTGAAACCATTATGAATCTGAAAGTACATATACCTGATGTTTTAAAGGCCTGCTTGTTAACTGTTTGTTTCTTTAGGTGTGTACCTTCCAATCTCTTTATTAACAGAACTTCCTCCTCTGTCTCAAATCTTATCAGGCCGCGTTGGGCTGATCGCCTGTGGTTGAGTCACTGCATACCTGAGTATAAAGCAAATTCATCTATAGTTTCCTCACTTCAGAGGTTATAATGATATGTTTAGTGAAAGTGTTTGAGACTGAACATGAGATATCAGTGTACGTGTGTGCATCTTGGTATATTTGCGATAATGTTCCAGTGTAGGCAGTAAAGAAACCCTTCTGATAAGTGTTAAATATGGGTTTTAAAGATCACTTTTGTCACGTATATATCCTCACTCAAGGATCGACTCACAGAAAAGCTGCTTTTAGTCTTTGAACAGTCTATTCAGAGTCTTACATGATGGTGTTCTTCATTTTAGGACTTCTCTCCTATGGTGCTGTCAGATTTACCATTGCTCTGTGAAATTTGGTGTAAATTCCAGTCATCTCAATTGTAATCCTATGACTGGTTCATTCCAGTTGTTCACGAGTAACCCTGCTGGTCCTACACTACCCAACCCGCTCTGAGCTAGGATTAAACCCTCGACTCTCCGCATGGGAGTTGGTTGCTCTAACAAGGAGGCTAAAGACCATGGCCTGCAGCGTCTGTCACTAGAGCACTTTTTCGGGTTCAGAAGAGTGAGATTTACCTGCACAGCACTTCACTAGCTGCCCTCGGTTACACTCACCCCTCCTAAACCTCACTCCCATTCAGGTCACGGCATCGATGTAACCCTGCCATTCCTACACCATTCAACCCACTCTGACCTAGGATAGAGCAGGCGACTCTCCGCATGGGAGTTGGTTGCTCTAAGAAGGAAGCTAAAGACGATGACCTTTAGCGTCTGTCGCTAGATTTTCAGGTTCAAACCTGCTTTTTTATAGTGACATTTGTGTAATACATCACCACATTATTGAAAATTCCTAAAAGCTAGTACACACCAAGCCAATGATCAGCCCTTGGACATTGTTGGGCTGTCGGTGAGCGTCTGGCAAGTTTGTTTGGTGCTTTCCACACTTTGCCATTTGTCGAGCTCACATTTGAAGGAGTTTGTTCGATTCAGCATGTGGAATTGAGGTTGGCCGCCAATAAAAGAGAGCACTCTAATTGGCTGTTCAGCAACGACCAGAATACAAAACAAAACTGAATACTTGCAAGCAATATGGATTATCAGATTATCAAGCATATTTGATTGAGAAGTACTGTGAAAGTCGTTTCATCCACATGCATGCGCAGAAGCTTCTTTCTTGTTTAACCTGCTGTCGTTTGTTTGGTGTGCTCATGCTCACCTTTTTATTCCAGCTGATGCAATGCGACAACACAGTCAGTTTTGATATTAGTTTTTTGATATCGGCTTGGTGTGTCCCAGGCTATAAACTAACATACTTGAGCTACTTCAGTCCTCATGTTGCACTTTTGGTCATCAAGAGTGTTCGAGTAAGTTCTATATTTTTGTCTGTGCAGGCAGGGGAGGGATGTGGGATTGAGTTCACTAGGTGGTGCAAATGTTGAATTCACCCGTTCACACGTATTTGCAGTTTAGTATACTGTACCTGTGTGCGAGATGGAGCGGGAAAAGAAGTATACCTGGGTTTTTAGGTGTTTTTTTTTTTTTTGGAAACTTCCTCATTCCTCCCTTATTTTCATCTATCATTGTCCATCATGCTCCAAGGATGGAAGTGTGCTGGATCGAGCACTTGAGTTCCGATCCAGTGAAGCAATGAGGAATACCAGTGTATCCCTGTGACTTGATGTCCAACAGGACCTCCCCAGTTATAAAGTACCCTGAGTGGCCCGAAAGCCCAGTGAGCCAGCCAGTGCTGGTCCACGGCTGCGTAGCAGGAGGAAACAATGCCATTGACCACCACCGTCCCATGGCTGGTGAGTGGAGCGAAGACCCCCCTGTCCTCCTGCATTTGGATCCGAGAGACCCGTGATAAACGTCCGTGCCGTCCTGCTGCTTGTGTGGACACCACACACTGACCTGGCAGCACATCGCTAGCAAATACAGACCGCAGTTCTGCATTGGCTGCAGACCCTGAGCAGTTCCCTTCAGATACAAACAGCAGATGAGCCGCCGTCAAGCTCAGTTTCGCACCAGAGTCTGTCTCAATGGTGAAGAACTGCTTCCTTGCGGAAGGGTCACGGTCCAGGAAGGCGATGACCTCGCTGTACACAAGCGTCCCGCTTCCGTCGCTTTCCGATGAAGCCAGGACTTTCTCTCCAGGCTGCAAGCTGTCCAAAGTCTTCAAGCTTCCATCCTCAACGGTGACGAGAGCCGATGCTGGAAAACAACCGCCGGTTTTAGCAGCCACAGAGTGCTCTAAAAATGGACAGAGAGAAAACAATCACCAAATGAGTCATCACATTGTCCGTTTTTTTTCTATCGTGATGTCTTATGCACACAGTAGCTTAAAACAATTCCAAAGGTCAGATGTTCATTACAGCCTCAAATGGCACAGTGCCTTCCTCTGATTAATCTTCAATCCTTAAAGCACACACCCGAGCACAAACACACTCCTGCTCTCATTGTAAACCCATAAAAATCCAATCAAACTGAAAGACGCAGTGGCAAACGGTGCAGGGCAAACATTTCAAGCGTCATCCTTCAGGCTAATTAGTTTTTTTCTTTTCACACGACTCTGGTCAGCAGGTACAAATGCGGTTAAGGCTAATAAATAACCACTTGATTGAATCTCGGCTCTCTATGACTCCTGTTTGACAGAGGTTTGGGAGCTACGTACGCTCTACAAAAATGGAACGAGTCTCAAGTCTCCGTCAATCCTACACAAATATTTGGGAAAGGTAAGTACCAAGGCCAGGTGATAAGACGGGATGAGATAAGAGATCTGAGAAAAGGGGACAACAGAGTTACCGTCTGGAAAACAAAGGAGCTGGTTAATCATCTCTCAGCACTATAGAGGCCAGCCCTACTTCTCAAGGCACATTCTCTGTCACATGCACACACAAACACACGCATACTTACATATTTCTTGTGCATTTGAAGTACGCACACACATTCAGAGGTGTAAAACGAAATGGGGATTTAAAGAACTTATTTTGTCTCATAATTAATAAAAATGATGCCTCTACTATGGTGAACTGTATATTTTGAATACTTGTATCAAAGTGAGCTCCTCAAATCTGACAAAATCAGTTGAATAAGCCGGGTGAAAAACACACCTATAGAGGACTTTGATAAAGCAGAAGCAGACTACAGGTCTTGCTTGTGTTTGCATGCTCTATCAGACTGATAACAGAAGTGCCTCACAAATGTCCACATACAGGGCCCATTCCTCTCTAACTGTGGTTAAATCCATACCACTATAAATATATATATATATATATATATATATATATATATATATATATATATATATAACGTCAGAATATGAAGTCAGAATTATTAGCCCCTCTTTAATTTTGTTTTCTTTTTTAAATATTTTTAAAATGATGTTTAACAGAGCAAGGAAATTTTCACAGCATGTCTGATAATATTTTTTCTTCTGGAGAAAGTCTTATTTGTTTTATTTTAGCTAGAATAAAAGCAGTTTTTATAAAAATAAAAAAAAAAACATTTTAAGGACAAAATTATTAGCCCCTTTAAGCTAATTTTGTTTTCGATAGTCTACAAAACAAACCATCGTTATACAATAACTTGCCTAATTGCCCTAACCTGCCTAATTAACCTAGTTAAGCCTTTAAATGTCACTTTAAGCTCCATAGAAGTCAAATATTATTTACCATCTTCATGGCAGCAATAAAATAAATCATTATTAGAGATGAGTTATTAAAACTATTATGCTTAGAAATATGTTGAGAAAATCTTCTTTTCGTTAAACAGAAATTAGGGAAAAAAATAAACAGGGGGCTAATAATTCTGATTTCAACTATATATATATATATATATACACACACACACGTCAGGTTTGTTTGTTAAAATGGGTTCTTTCATGGGTAAATGGTTCTTAAAGAGTTTTTACACTAATAATGGTTATTTAAAAACTGTTAGCTTAAATGTTCATTTAGGCATGAAAACGTAATTTTGGATGCATCATTTGTACTTTTCATGAAGAGTAAGTTCACTCAAAAGTTTGAGTTTGTCCTACTTCTGATGTTAATGGCTACTGGTTTCTAGCGACATTCAAAATATCTTCTCTTGTGCTCAACAGAACAAAGGAAATCTAAATGGTTTAGAAAGTCAAGTAAATAATGACAGAATTTGCATTTTAGGGAGAACTGTACTTTTAAGTGAGTTTATTTAGGAAAATTGTAATGAACTGATTAAAGTATAAAATACGATTTTAAGAATAAGATTAGTTGGCAGCTTGTTGATAAGATAAAAATTAAATGACCATAACAGTGCGCAGTGTTATAAAGGAAAGGTGGTACATTTTAAAAATTGAACTGGATTTTGTTGCCACATATTTAAGCATGTATATACTATGTGTGCAATTTTGTCAGTTTATGTATCTGTAGGGGCCGACTTAACCAATAAGCAAGGTAAGCGACTGCTTAGGGCCCCAGGAAATGTAAGGGCTCCTAAATAAATATATAGAAGTATAAATTATAACTTGTATATATCATCGTTTTCTATCAGATTTTGTACATTGAAGGTCTATTATTACATCTGCACAAGTGTGTCTCCCCAACCCTCAATCTTGGACCAGTCCAGCAGACAAATCGGTAAAGATTTAGTTTTAAAAATGCAATAGTTTATTTATAGTTTGTAGTTGTAGTTTCACTAAACCTGTCCCTGTCTGTAAGTGTTGTAAGGATCTGTGTTGATTTTTTAAATAATCTGTTCAACAAGAGCAAAAACCGGTCATTTTTACAATCAAAAAAGGGATTAAACTGCCAAAAGAGACAATAAAACACTGAATGGCTGCACTTTCACTTTCCTATTGTTTGCACAATAATTTGGTCTCTGGTGAGTTTGGTAGAGCCAGGTGTTTAAGGTTTAATGATGTGGTCTGTTACCTGCATCCCAAGTCTACCACTTATCTCACCCAAGTTAATGAGAACTGACCAACTTTACCACAACAGGACACACCTGATTTACCGGCACACTGAACGAACGCTTATGAACCTTTCCACCTGGAGTCACTTTAGTTCAAATGCTGTGGATCAGACTGCACACATGTCATGTTGTAAATGTTTAGTGGCATATTGTCACCTTAGAATTATACGGTTCTATTTGACATTTTTGTCAAAATTGAGTTATTCACATATTCTTATGAAATGACAACTTATTTATATTATGGGATGTTTTTTTATAAGTTGTTTTTATTTAAGGACTTTTTATTTAAAAAAAAACAAATGTTATACACATACTGTTTGCTATGGAATGCAAAAACTTTAAAGCTCATTATCTCAAAATCATTTAGAACGCAGATAGAACCTCACAATTCGAAGGTGACGATATATTTCTTTGAAAATTAAGATAAAACCAATATATATGCTATGAAAAAATGCAAAAACAATATATATTTTTTTTAAATATTTGCAAAAAGATGTATAAGAGCAATGATTTACTTTACAGTATTTCCTTTTATATTGTTTTTAGTTTAGAGAAAATCTTATTTCTTTTAGTTTGGAATAATTAGTTAATATTATCAGCTCCCTTAAAATATATATCTTTTTTTATTAATTGTAGTCCAATGACTTGCCTAAATAACCTTGACTTGCATAGTTTACCTAATTAACCAAGTTAAACTTTCATTTGCACTTTATGCTAAATATTTGTTTGTTGCAAAATAAAAAGTAAGTAAAAGTATAATGTACTTTTATCATGACAAAGTCAAAAAAATTGTTATTAGAAATTAGTTATTATTACTACACTACCTGACAAAAGTCTTGTCCCCAATCCAACTTTGAGGAACACCAAATAATAACTGGACTTCTAGTTGATCATTTACTATCAGAAGTGGCTTAAATGAAAGACAGAGGACTCTAGATTACTCTAAAATAACAGATGATCATGTCTAGATTTTTTATTATTCAATTAATACAGTAAGGTCTGACTTTGCCTCCTATAAGCTTGGAGGATTGCATCCATACATCTCTGCAATGACTCAAATAACTTATTAAGTCATCTGGAATGGCAAAGAAAGCGTTCTTGCAGGACTCCCAGAGTTCATCAAGATTGTTTGGATTCATCTTCATCGCCATTTCTTACCCTAGAAACCCTAGAAAGGCTCAATAATGTTCATATCTGGTGACTGGGCTGGCCAATCCTGGAGCACCTTGACTTTCTTTGCTTTCAGGAACTTTGATATGGAGGTTGAAGTATGAGAAGGAGCGCTATCCTGCTGAAGAATTTGCCCTCTCCTGTGGTTTGTAATTTAATGGGCAGCACAAATGTCCTCATACCTCAGGCTTTTGATGTTGCTATTCACTCTGCAGATCTTTCGCACGCCCCCATACTGAATGTAGCCCCAAACCATGATTTTTCCTTCACCAAACTTGACTGATTTCTATGAGAATCTTGGGTCCATGCGGGTTCCAATAGGACTTCTGCGGTATTTGTGATGATTGGGATACAGTTCAACAGATTCAGCAGAAAAATCTTCAACCTCTTTTCTAAATGTTCAACTAGAAGTCGTTATTATTTGTTGTTCATACAACTGAGATCTTCAATGCCACTTTTGTCAGGTAGTGTATTATGTTTAAAAATGTTTTGAATAAATCTCTGTTAAACAACACTTGGAAAATATTGGGAAAAACGAATGAAAATTATGCACATCATCATGAGTCGGTTGCTAATGTAAACATTTGCACTGAATGTTCCACAGAGCGCATCAGATTGAAGTGGTCTCTATGGTTGTGCTGTAAACAAACAAGTGATTTATGAAGTCTCTTCCCTACCTGACTTGACGCTGCAGTGGATGTGAGCTTTGGACTCATAGTAGACCCAATCAAAACCGGCCTCCACTGCAAGACGGGCCAACATGCCATATTTATTACGGTCTCGATCAGAAGTGGTGATGTCGACAGCTCTTCCTTCGTAATGCAGCGAATCTTCAAAGTGATTGCCGTCTTCATCCCAACCCTCGGTCACCCTGAGCTTCACCCCGGGCCACATGTTCATCACAGAGATAGCCAGAGAGTTCAGCTTATCTTTACAGCGCTGTGAACGCAACAAAAGGGAGATGTTTAGACCTGGGTTACACACGTGGAAGACGATGGTGTGCCTTCACTGCAGTTTTGCAAGAAATAAGCAAACAAGAAAAGTTATAACTCCAAAGGGCAAAACAGATTGAATCACAGAAGAAAAGAAAGGCAAAACTGATACAAATCACACTGAATTTGGTTTGTCTGGTATAAAATGCATTATCCACACTGAAAAGACAATGCTGGGTTGTTTTTAACCAAATGCTGCGTTAAATATGGACAAACCCGACATAAAATATAGTTTTAATTTAATATTTTTTTTTAAAATAAGCCATATTTGACCCAATTTTGGATTTAAAGAGATAGTTACCTCAATAATCTGACATCATTTACTCAAGCTTTAGTTTTTTCCAAGCCTGTTTGTCTTTCGTTATTAAAAAGAAGATATTTTGAAAAATGCTGAAACCTGTAACCATTGACTTCCATAGTAATTGGTTTTCCTATGAAAATCAATGGTTACAGGTTTTGAGCATTCTTCAAAATATCTTCTTTTGAGTTCAACAGGGAAAAATAAACTTATAAAAGTTTGGAAGCGCTTGAGGATGAGTAAATAATGACTATCCCTTTAAAACAACCCATCATACATATGATTTCTTAAGAGTTTAAGTGTATGAGACGACTATTTTATGATCTATTTTATGTATTCAAGAGTATTTCACTTCCCTTGTTTACCCTGTTTAACTTTGCACAATTTTTAATTAAAGTTTCAGCAATGCTACTTTAGCTGCCACATTTTTTGTTTCAACCCCCAGCACCTTTTCGTTTATTTCTAGAGAGTTTATTTTCAAAAGCGCCTACGTAAAGCATCACATAATGACAAATTATTGGATCATGAGGAGAACTGAGTGATGCTTCAACCCACAAATATACACAGATTTATTTTTACCATCCCACAGGTATTTTTTTCAACAACCAAGGTACAAAATGTGTCTAGAAGTTTGAGTGATTCACTTTTAACCTAACCACATTCACCAACCTTCAGAATACACAACTTGCTTTTAAGAGCAAATTCATATTTACATTTACATCTAGTCATTTAGCAGACGCTTTTATCCGAAGGGACTTACAAATGAGGACAAGGAAGCAATTTACACAACTATAAGAGCAACAATGAATAAGTGCTGTAGGCAAGTTTCAGGTCTGTAAAGTCTTAGAAGGAAAGCATTAGTAATTTTTTTTTTTTTTTTTTGAGTACAGTTAGTGGTATATCCAGAGAGGCAATTGCAGATTAGGAAGTGAAGTGGAGACTTATTTCAGCATGGAAACAGACGTTCATTTCTGTAACACAGATATATCGCAAATAACCACATTTGTTAGAAAAACATTATCATGATTTGGAAAGGAAATTAAAGTCATAAGTTCATTAAATTTGGATTAATTTACATTTATGGTTTATTTACTTTTTTAAATAATGCTAACACTGATTAAAAGATTATTTTAGACAGATTATTTTTAACAGAAACACTGTAAAAAAAGAAAAAGAAAAAAAAAGCAGGGTCCCACACAATTGATTCAGTTAACTTAACACTTTTAACAAATTTATGTGGATTGAACATAAAAAAAAATTAAGTTGTCCCAATGAAATCTCAAGAATTGTTTTGTTTCAGCTCAGCTTAATTAAGTAATTTGAACAAGTAAAAAAAAAAAAAAAAAAAAAAAATATATATATATATATATATATATATATATATATATATATATATATATATATATATATATATATATATATATATATATATATATATATATATATATTGTTTTGAGTGTATGACAGCTCTATATAGAAATTCTTTCCACTTTTAAAAATTAAAAATAAAACTATTTATTGGCATCTTCGGTTCCATGATGTAATTATTTAGAATAACACATACTCTATATGTGTTATCTCTATAAGATATAATTGATTTAAAAAAAACTTTTTACTAAAATAACCTAATAGCCGCATTATAACCCTTGTGTAAGTCTTATTTTTAAAAGTCATTTTAAAGAATTTTGAAATCAATATGCTAATCTGAAGAACCTACAATGTTATATCAATAACATTTTAAGTCCCCAAAGAACTAACCAAACTCACACACAACAGGCAAAGCCGCTTTTGAAAAGCCCAAGATTCTTTGCTGAAGCCTTTTTTTCAATCAGTTTTAAGAGACAAAATGCTGTCAGCAATCAATTCCTTTGAAAGCTGTGAGGATCGATAGGAGCGCGTCGGTGGGACTGAGCAAAGGGCACAACCGCTGAGCAACAGGTTTAATGCGCTCGCAATCGAATCAAAGCCACTGAGTGTGTTTCTAATGGGCTGATAATTGAATTCATAGCAAGCGCGTTCTCCAAGTGCCGCTCACCTGCGTCATGAGTCGATCCGCACCTGTGTTCTCCTCATCTTTGAAGATGATGTCCGGGTTGTAGTTCGGCGTGAGCTCTTTAAAGCGCTCTGAGTTCCTGGTGATCTTGCCCTCGATTCTCCCGCTGGCTCCCAGTGTCTTCTCGGCTACATTTGGACTAAACTGCTTGTAATTAAGGGGTGTCAGTTTCTTCGGAGGCCGCCTTTTCCCATGTCCCCTCCCCGGCCCACAGCCCTCGTTAACAGGTGCGAAAATCAGGGCGCAGCCGACGAGGAGCCCAAACACCACGGGGAGACGCATTCCACCGCAAGCGGCCGGGCACTCCGATGCGGAGTGGTACGGTGGCACAGCTCGCCGTTCACTGAGAAACTACCCCCCGCGAGATCCTTCTTCCCCCCCACGGGGTAAATGATGGGGAGGACAAAACCTCTACTTCTTTATTAGCCTTATCCGTGCCATCGTCCGTGCGTAAAATTCGCTTTACGCAAAGCCAGTCATGGAGAGCCGCCGGAGAAAAGATCCAGTGATACCAAATGTTCAGTGCCCATAAAACGCGAAACGCTGGTCTCTCGAGAAAATCACCCAAATGAGAGCGAGCGGGCAAGTCCATTTATTTATCTAACAGATTCCAGGAGAGAAAGAGAGAGAGAGATAGACTCCGGGAGAGCTTTCAGAGAGACTCCTGCTGTCTTTGAATGCGTGCGTCCGTCAAGTGATCTGAGCTGCCGGCGCACTGAAGACAGACCGCACCCTGCCAGCTTCTTGCCCCTCTCTATCCCTGCCTGCCACTCCTCCCCATGGGTCACATTGGGTGCGTCGTGCTGTATGCCCACCGGCTCCCTTTAACGCTTCACAGCGCCTGGCTGGGCAAACACACGTCTCGAGGAAGAACTGGACTCAGACTCTCCCATTCATAGATCCACAAATAGATAAGGGGCCTGGCTGCTCCTCAAACAAACGTGAGCGACTGCTGCCCTCCCCTACCTGCCTAACACTGATATGATGAAGGAAACACGGCAGACTACAACTTGCCGAAGGATTGATTGGTTATTTATTGATCAGAAGACATCCGTTTGGGTTCAGTTTAGGTGGCAGGTGTAAGAGTTGAGAGATGATTGATTTATTTATTTTGTCCTGAACTCTATGCAAAGTTACAGAAGCTAATTTGGAAATGCTGTACTTAAAGTAAACACTGTAAATGTAAACCCATGAACATCTTTGCATAAACACTGCACTAATGAGATATACTGTAAAGTAGTTTTATAAATGATAATTAACATTTAAAAAAACTTTTTTGTGTAGCTTTTAAACCCATAAATGGAGACATTTTTTTGACATGTGTTTGGTTTAATTGTTTTCAGAGCTGACTACATTTTAACCATGTTTTTCAGACACCCATTTGAAAAATACAGTACAATTTTGTGACTTATTTTTATTTAAGAATCAGTACAGACCCCAAATACTAATTGCCATGTTTTAAAATTTATACCATATCCTTTGAACCCATTTGTCAGCAAGAAGTTTTAATAAATTAAAATGTAGAGCAATTCTGTATGACTGCATATATGTTTTAATAAGTACAAGCAATACGTTGTTTTGTATTGTTTCATTACTCAATAATAGCATTTCATGTTTGCATATATACAGTGCATCTGGAAAGTATTCCTAGCGCTGCACATTTTTTATGCTACAGACCTACTCTAAAATGGATTCAGTTAATTTAATTTCTCAAAATTCTGCACACAATACCCTATAATGACATATGAAAAAACACTTTTTATATAAATGAAAAACCTGAAAAACCCCATGTACATCAGTATTCACAGCCTTTGCTTAATACTGATGCACCTTTGGCAGCAATTACAGCCTCAAGGCTTTTTGAATATGATGCCACAAGCTTGGCACACCTTTCTTAGGGATTTTTGCCCATTCCTCTTTGCAGTACCTCTCAAGCTCTATCAAGTTGGATGGGAAGCGACGGTGTACAGCCATTTTCAGATCTCTCCATAGATGTTCAATTGGATTTAGGTCTGGGCTTGGGCTGGGCCACTCTAGCACATCCACCGAGTTGTTGTGAAGCCACTCCATTGATATTTTGGGGGTGTGCTTTGGGTGATTGTCCTGCTGGAAGATTAACCGTCGCCCCAGTCTGAGGTCACGAGCACTCTGAAGCAGGTTTTCATTTAGGGAGGCCCAGGTACATTGCTGCATTCATCTTTCCTTCTATCCTGACTAGTCTTTCAATTCCTGCTGCTGAAAAACATCCACACAGCATGGTATTAGCCTGGTGATGAGCTGTGCCTGGTTTTCTCCAACTGTATTCACATTCACTCCAAAGAGTTCAATTTTAGTCTCATCAGACCAGAGCATTTTGTTGCTTATGGTCTGAGAGTCCTTCAGATGCCTTTTGGCAAAATCCAGGTGAGGAGTGGCTTCTGTCTGGCCACTCTACCATACAGGCCTGATTGGTGGATTGCTGTACAGATGGTTGTCCTTCTGTAAGGTTCTCCTCTCTCCACAGAAGAACCTTGGAGCTCAGACAGTAACCATTGGGTTATCGATCACCTCCCAGACTAAGACCTTTCTACCCTGATCACTCAGCTTAGATGGCCGGCCAGCTCTAGGAAGAGTCTTAGTGGTTTCAAACATCTTCCACTTACGGATGATGGAGGCCACTGTGCTCACTGGAACTTTTAGAACAGCAGAAATTTTTCTGTAACCTTCCCCAGCCTTGTGCCTCGTGGTCTACAGACAATTTCTTTGTCTTCATGCTTAGTTTGTGCTTTGACATGCACTGTCAACTCTGGGACCTTATCTAGAGAGGTGTGTGTCCAATCAACTAAATTTAACACAGGTGAACTCCAATTAAGCTGCTGAAACATTTTCATTATGGCTATTGTGTGTAGAAATTAGCAGAAATAAATGAATTTAATCCATTTTGGAATAAGGCTGTAACATAAATAATGTGGGAAAAATGAAGTGAATAGTTTCCTGTTGCACTGTTAATCTGATTTATATAAACCTTAGAACATTACAGCAGTTGTATGAATGTACTTCACTTTATATAACCATCATTAAATCTAACATATATATATATATATACACAGTTGAAGTATTTATTTTTTCTCCAATTTATGTTTAATGGAGAGAAGATTTCTTTCAACACAATTCTAAACATAATATTTTTAATAACTCATTTTAATAATGGATTTATTTTATCTTTACCACGATGACTTTAAATAATATTTTACTTGATATTTTTCTAGACACTTCTATACAGCTTAAAGTTACATTTAAAGACTTAACTGGGTTAATTAGGTTAACTAGGCAGGTAAGGGTAATTAGGCAAGTTATTGTATAACAATGGTTTGTTCTGTAGACTATCAAGAAAAAATATAGCTTAAAGGGGCTAATAATTTTGTCCCTAAAATAGTGTTTAAAAAATCTAAAACTGCTTTTATTCTAGCCGAAATAAACCAAATAAGACCTTCTCTAGAAGAAAATATATTATCAGACATACTGTGAAAATTTCCTTGCTCTGTTAAACATCATTTGGACAATATTTTAAAACGAAGAAAAAAATTCGAAGGGGGCAAAAAAAAAAAAAAAATATATATATATATATATATATATATATATATATATATATATATATATATATATATATATATATATATATATATATATATATAGTTTAAACTGCAATAAAAAATATCATCCTGGTCATGTTTGATATTATGCAAATACAGTTTATAGACTTTCAAATGATGTATTTTTACATTCATCTATTGCTCAATGGCTCTTTTTTGTATCAGAGCTACAGTGTGTGCTGTCCCATGCTGAGGTAATAAGCAGTGGTGGGACCTACATGAGGGCTACACTGTTCTAACTGAAGACGAAGCTGGTAGAGACGTGAGCGTATGAGCTGGAAGATGGTTACACAGGAGCAGCTCTATTCTCCAGCACTGACAGAAGACGCTCCACTTACACAAGCCGTGACTGTGTGGAGGCAGCCAGCGGTCAGCACCTTAAGAACAGATATATCCACCACACTCCAACTCTGTTCGCTTTCTCTTTAAATGAAGGAAAGGAAACAGACCCAAGTCTTCGAAATTAGCTCTGCAAATATTTGCCGGAAAGGGGCTAGTGGTTTTGTGCCCATTTCAAAAGCAAATTGAACAGACGTGGGGTTTGGTGTTGATTTATTTTTGTTAATTATTTATGTCTGTAAATATCAAAGTATTTTAGGTTTGGGGGTTGGTGTGTCCTCATTTGGAACAGGGAGTTAAAGGGAGTAATTGAATGGGTGAGGAAAATACTGCTGTCACTCTTTCAATAAAACTCACTTTCCCCCCTGACCATTTGGGGTACAAGTCTGGTAAGTTTTACACAACTGGTTTTATCCATCATAGCACATTTTAATTAATTAATGTTTCCATTCCTTTTCTGTTCTCTTAATGCCCATCTATCTTTCTCAGGCCTTTCCAGTTGTGTGTTTAAAATCATATGTGTGTTGAACTCTATTGTTGTCTACCATAAATGGCTAAATCTGTTTATTCTCTGCACCAGTTGTTCACAAAGTGGTGGTCGATGGGGAGGTTATGTGGGCATAGGGGGTGTGAGATGTCACTTAGGGATATCCAAAAATCAAATGTTATCCATAATATTGTTATTCATAACTAATAAAAGATAAACATATTAATTAACAGTTACATTAAAACACAACATGCTAATAAAAAACCATCAGCATATTTAAATTACTGTTTTTCATTGGACTGGGACATCTGGAGTAATTACATTAGATTAATAACAAAGTTGCAGTAGTTAAATTTTACAGTCCAACACTTTTTTTAGTACTCATACATTCTGAGTGGCAGTCACCAAAAAAAAAATAAAATAAAATAAATATATATATATATATATATATATATATATATATATATATATATATATATATATATATATATATATATATATATATATATATATATATATATATATATATATATATTTGGTCCTGGAGGGCCGGTGTCCTGCAAAGTTTAGTTCCAACCCTAATCAGACACACTTGGGCTAGCTAATCAAGCTCTTGCTAAGCCAGGGATGCCCAAACTCAGTCCTGGAGGACCATGCAGGACATCAGCCCTCCAGGACAGAATTTGGACACCCCTGTGCTAGGCTTTCTAAAAACATCCATGCAGGTGTGTTGAAGCAAGTTGGAGCTAAAATCTGCAGGACATCGGCCTTCCAGGATAGAGTTTGGGAAATGCTGACATAGTCTGAATAGATAGTAAATGGCAGGGGTGCCCAAATTTGGTCCTGTAGGGCCGACTTCCTGCAAAGTTTAGTTCCAACTCCAATCAGACACACCTGGGCTAGCTAATCAAGCTCTTGCTAGGCCAGGGGAGCCCAAACTCAGTTCTGGAGGACCAATGTCCAGCTTATTTTACTTCCAACCCCAATTAAACACACCTGAACCACCTAATCAATCTCCTTTTATGTATACTAAAACTTGCAGGCAAGTGTGTTGAAGGAAGTAAGAGCTAAACTATGCAGGACACTGGCCCTCCAGGACCGAGTTTGGACACCCCTGTAATAGATGGTCAATGGCACAGGT